TAATCTGTATAAATAAAAAAAAATAAATAAATATGAAAATAAAAAAAAAATTAAATGAAGAAAATACAAAATAACAAAAAAAAAATGAAATGAAATTAATTATGAAAAAAAATAAATTAAGAAATGAAAAAAAAATTAAAACAAGAAATAAAAAAAAAACTAAAACAAGAAATTAAAAAAAAAGAAAAAGAAAAAAAGGTATAAAGGAAATTAAAACTTCAAACCAGGGGGTATGAATGGGTCATCGGACCTACGGTAAGAACGCAGTTCTTTAAATATGAGATGAGTATATAGATATACAGGAAAAACGAAGTTCTGTAAACGTTAGTACTGCATTCATGTTGTTTACTAAAACAAAAACTTACAAAACGAATAAAAAAAAAATAAAAACAATAGTTTAGTACTCACGATGGTTGAACTTTGTGAGAACGTCATGCATAAATACAGTAGTCACGAAGTTCAACCATCGTGAGTACTAAACTATTGTTTTTATTTTTTTTTATTCGTTTTTCGAGTTTTTGTTTTAGTAAACAACATGAATGCAGTACTAACGTTTACAGAGCTTCGTTCTTCCTGTGGGTCTGGCGACTCCATTGTTACCTGAGAAATTGTGTCTATACTCATCTCATATTTAAAGAACTTTGTTCTTACCGTGGGACCCATGACTCATTAATACCCCCTGGTTTTTTTTATTAAATAAGTCCATTATCACAAAGGCGTTTAAGAAAAAATTTTTTTCCATGACACTTAGAGTTATTTGGTGTAACCATGCACAGTAGTAAGTATGGACATTATTTATTCCTTCGAAAAAGTGAAAGAGCAGGGGTATTTAAAATTTTTGTTTTTGGAAAAGGTAAATAATTACCGTACAACGAAATTATATTATTTATGAAAAAAATTAATGCTCTAATTAGCATTATCGTTTTATATTAAAAAACAAGTTTTTGCAGACATGCAAAGAATTACCATTTTTTTCTTGGAAGAGCTCGGGTGAAAGATTTTTTTCATATTTGTTTAATGTTGTGTACCGTGTACATGTCCAATTTTTATTTTCTCAGTAAAATTTACTATTTTTTTCGTTTACTTAAATAGCTTCTAGATATTTCTTTATTTAATCGTTACTGTAATAACTATATTCTTAGATAGATATAATTTAATTTGTTCAACCATTAATTTTTAATTTTGACAATCTAATAAAGTTTCAAATGCTAAAGTTCATTCTATAACTCAAATGACTCAATGCTTCTTTTGTTTATCCTATTTTTTTGTAGGTAATAGCAAATCGATTAGTCTGGAAAAGTTAGGAGTTTAATTTTCTGATTATATTTTACAAAATACAGATAATTATCTTACCCATCTTTGCAACGTACAATTCAGCGGACAAGGATGAGTGCAAAAAAAATCCAGGAATATTAAAACAATATAGTTCTATTAAGAGTTTTGCACAAAACTTGGAAAAAGATCCAAATCTTTTGAAAAATCAAAAAGAATCAGAGGGAGTAAAATCTATTGAAGCAAAACTTGTTGCATTATCGTCTTTTAGTGACCACTTGATTCTTTACGATAAAGATTTAGTTAATTAATTTAAAAATGAGAATTTAATTTTTGTTGATGCAATGTTCAAAATATGCCCAAGTATCAAGGTTTTTATCAAGTTCCTCACTGTTATGTTAAAAAAAATAATGTAGTAAGTAACTTATTTTCTCTAAGCCTGTACTAAAAATTCTTAGTCATTTCATTATCAGATAATTGTAATTAATGTCAGTACTTTTAACAGACATGTCAGTATTCAATTTTACGTCTTAAATAATTATATCGCCAATACGCATCTTTAATAACGTTTGTGTGCCTAACCTAATACTTCTTACAACGATATCAAAGAAATTCAAGTAATTATAATTGACATTTAGACGTGTAAGACTCATAAATTAAAGTTTCGAGACAAATGCTTATTAAATAAACTACTCACTGCGCCACGAAAGTAGGAATGTAAGAAATGTTGTAGCTTATTCTTACGATATGCTGGAGTAACTGATAAAAAGTACCATTTGATCACATGAGTGTGATTATATNGCGGCAATCAGTGCGGCGCGGAGCTCGAGGCGTGGAATCGTCATGCGCGCGGATGTCTCTGGCGCCAGCTTGAGCGAGCGAATCGGCGAGAGCTTCGTCCGAGCCAGAAGAATGTGGCAGAGCGCCGGCCCAGCCCCGGGCGCGAGGCGAGAGTAGGTGACGGCTGCCATCGCGCGGCGACTGGCGTCCGAAAAGCCGTGCAGGTGAAGCTCGGAAGAAGGCCCAACTCCGATCCAGCGCGGTAAGGTAAAGGTGGAGATGGCCTGGAGCTCGGCGGTAAATTCCGCCCATCGGCGAGTCATTGAGATCGGCGCAGGCTCGTCCCAGCCCAGTCTGGCGCGCCAGAGATCCTGAAGCAAGAGCTTGGCATTTAACACGATCAGCGCGAGCCAGCCGCATGGGTCGAACAGACCCGCGAGCGCCGCGAGCATCGTCCGCTTTGTGCTCTGCGGCTGGAGTGGTGGAGGTGTCAACTGAAAGCAGTCTGACGGTAGATCCCACTTGACCCCGAGCTCGCTGACGAGGCCTTCAGCGCTGAGCTGCTCCCAGGTCAGACGTAAGCGGACGTCGTCAGGCAGATCGTCGATTAGCTCGTGGACATTGGTCACCCACTTCCGCAAGGGAAAGCCGCCGGCCTTCATGAGCCCGCTCAGCTGGTCGCGGAGGCGCCGAGCCGCGGTGACGTCGTCGGCCCCGGAGAGAAAGTCGTCGGCGTAGCGGTCACACAGGGCGGCTGACACAGCTTCGGGCCAGTTGTGGCCTTCGTCCTGGCATAGCTGTTGGAGGGTACGCAGCGACAGGTAAGGCGAGCACGATTCGCCGTAAGTCACAGTGAGCAGCTGGTAGTGGGTTGGAGGCTGGCTGGGATCGGCAGCCCAGACGATCCGCTGCAGGTCGACGTCACGGTAGTCGATCCAAATCTGCCGGAACATCATGCGGATGTCGCTGCAGAAGGCGATGCGGTGCCGCCGCCAGCGCATGAGCACCGATGGGAGCGCGGCTTGGAGTCTGGGTCCAGCGTGGAGGACGTCATTCAAGCTGTGGCCACTGGAAGTCGGGTTGGACGCGTTGAAGACTACTCGGAGCTTGCGCCCGCGATCAGCATGCTGCCAGATGCCATGATGATGGATGTAGTTGACGGGCCCAGCTGTAGCTGCAAGCTCAGCGCTGGTGAGCGGGCGCATGTGGCCCATCGCGAGATAGTCAGCCATGAATCGACTATACTCCACAGCCATATCGGGGCTTCGCCGAAGCCGGCGTTGCAGGGCTGCCAAGGAGGCCTTGGCGCTCTGAAGACTGTCGCCAAGAAGAAGCGAACCGCTGCCCTTCAGCGGGAGGCGCACGATGTACCGTCCGTCCGCGGCGCGTCGGTGGTCTGCGAAAGCACGCTCGCACTCGATGTCCTCATCTGAGCGGCGGTGAGCCTGAGGAAGATCCTCCATCTCCCAGAACCGCTGTAGCAGAGCGGTTANCGCGCGCGAGCGCATACGTGTGTGTGTATAGTAAGCCTCTTAAAATCTGACACTGATATATATACTTGGAGAGCAAATATACAGTATACCTAACAGTAAAATAACATAACCTAATACTAATGTATTTGAGTGTAGGTTTTAAGTAGACCTGGTACGGGAAAAATCCTTACCAAGCTATGACAAACACATAAGTTCATGTGGTAGAGGATTTTTAGTGAGACAATAGAAAGAAAATACCGTACCTAGCAATAATATAATCTTATTTGCCAGTAGAAGAAGACTTCACATGTCCAACATTTTCGAGCGTAGGTTTTAGACGGACCTGGTACGGGAAAAAACCTTACCAAGCTATTAAAAACTCGTAACTAAATGTAGTAGGGGATTTTCAATGAAAAAGATCTTTCCGTGTACCTGAACAAAACAATTATCACGTTCGATGTTTTTCTTGCTATTTTCTTGAAATAAAACGTGCTTACAATTTTTTTTAAAGTAACAGATTCTTTATGATTGAGAGTATTGTACCAATATGATTTCTGGGCCCACAGCTATTTTACTGTAGTATAGTAGTTAATTGAATTTCGAATTCCGTATGGTTACGTGTTAAATTGACAAATTTTCACAAGCAATTTTCTCAAAAATGTAAGTGCTGACCTACCTTTTTTTTGATAAAGGAGATTAAAAAAATAAATAATAAGAAAAAAATAAAGGAAATTAAAATTTGAATAGAAAAATAAAAAATAGAAAAAAAAAACAAAATAAAGGAAATTAAAAATAAAGGATCAAATTAAAAGAAACAAACCAGGGGGTATAAATGGGTGGTGGGACCCACAGTAAGAACGAAGTTCTTTAAACATGGGATAAGTGTAAGGACACACAGTTTCTCAGGTAAAAAAGTGGTCGCCAGACGCATAGGAAGAACAAAGCTCTATAAAAATGAGTACTGCATTCATTTAGTTCACTAAAATAGTTACTTGAAAAACGAATTTAAAAAATAATAAGAAAATTTAGTTCAGTACTTACGATAGTTGAACTTTGTTAGTACTGTATTTATGCATGACGTACTTGCGAAGTTCAACTATCGTGAGTAGTGAACTAAATTTTCTAATTTAAAAAAAATTTTTTTTCGAGTAATTGTTTTAGTAAACTACATGAATGCAATATTTATTTTTATAGAGCTTCGTTCTTCCTCTGGCGATCCCCTTGTAACTCGAGAAACTGTGTGTCTTTATACTCATCTCATGCTCAAAGAACTCCGTTCTTACCGTGGGTCCCATGACCCATTTATACCCCCAGGTTTGTTTCTTTTATTTTTTTTTTTAAATAAGACTGTGTTAATGTAAGACGTATATTTGGAGCTCGTAACTAAATTTTAACGCATGCGCAATAGCAAGAGGACGAGACGCCGTGACGCTGCATTTCAGCGTCTAATACCTATAGTCTTTTCCTTCTCGTGCGGTCAGTCTGTCGATACGCACTCCCTGCTTTTCGTATTTCTTTATTTGATTTGATCTTGCTTTATTTCAGTTCAGCTTACGATTGTATCTTTGATTGTAAAGACTAAAGATGGCATATACTCAAAATATTGAGAATAAACGTGTTCGTATTTTATAATAAAAACGATAGTGTTGTACATTTAATTGCCCGATCACATACCCATACGTCCATACTGCTAATAGTTAACCACAATTGTAAACAGATTTTCAACTGTTTGTTCTTTAGATGCTTTTACATACTTATTTGATAGTTTTTTTAAACAATTTAATGTAATTTTTCCATTTTTAGAAGGAATAACTTAAAAAAATAGTTTTCAATGTTAGGACTTTAACAATCTCTGTAATCATTTAAGATTAAGCATGTATGATATATTTGTTTCACTTTTTTGTCGTAAAAATAATTGCAAAAATTATGGTTGAACTGATTTTATTTGTATGTTTGTCAACATATTTAAAGAAAAGAAAACTATTTCTTATTTTAGAAAAAATTCGGCCATTATTACAATTTTTTGAAATGCTTCAATTTCCTTTCTAATTATAGTTGCATACAAATTTTTCCTGTATATTCCTTCTACACTTTTTTTCTTTTACCATCTTTCCGAATATTACATATTGTCAATTATGTATCAGAGTTCTTATATAATGTTGCAATTGTATTATTTCAAATACTTTTTGATTCTTATTATTACAAATACAAACAGATGTTTAAGGACGTTCATTACAGTTATAGGGGAAATATAGAGTGTGCAGGCATTTGTGTTGCATGCGTTTGTATACTTATAGATAGGCATCTGACACTATTTTTTATTTAAATACAAAAATAACTTGTTGATCCCTCTGAAAATTAAATATAATACCAGTCTTAAGGTATTGCGCCATGAAAAAAAAATTGGACGATCATTTTTTCATAAATTCTACACTTTAAGTGACTCTTTCACAAGGTGATGTGTGAAATTGAAGTTTTTTTTACATTCAATATCTAAAAAACGGTGTTGTGAAGCAGTTTTCAATTTCATACGTGACTTTACAACATCATAACGAAAATCCTGTTGAAATTTGAAGAAGATTCTACCCAAATTGCTACGTATAATGAGCGTCCTTAAGGCATTATTTTTAAAAATAAGGTTTGAAATTGTATCTAAAATAA